CTCAGTCTGCTAAAAAAAAAGAAAAAAAAAGCGGCCTCTGATGGCTGAATCGGAGCACGCCTAGGCGTGCTCCGATTCAATCGGAGCACGCCTGGGCGTGCTCCGATTGGAAAATCGGAGACCTGCAAGCGCTCACAGGTCTTCAGTGGCTGATTCAAAGCACGGCAAGTCGCGCTAGGATTCGCTGTTGCCATGTCGATTGTCATGTGACATGTCAGAAAAAGGAACTAAACCCCTGGCACTGGCCCTGGCCCTCGAGATCTCTCTCGAGACGGCAAGTACTGAGTACCGGTAGTTGAAGTACAAGTGAAGTCTACAGACCGGCGTCATCATCTTTCCCAAAACATGGATTGGTGTTGCGCGTGCCACGTGGCCTAGCCTAGGCTTACGTCATGACGTCACTACGTGTCATTGTCCTGCTGCATGTCTCTCCCACGTGTAAGTGTCCCAAGCTAGCTCAAAATGTTTGAATTGATTTTGCAGATATTCAATGTTCGGGGTAGGTTGAAGCTAGCTAAATGTTTGATCAATGTTTCGCCATTCTACGAGTAAGTCGCAACGACCAACAACCGTGAAAGTCTGCGCATATCTCCGCTGTTCACCCAGTTTTGCGTTTGTACTTGGAGGTAAAGAGAGGCTGAGCTGATGTCGATACGATCCGAGGCTGCAGAAATCACGAGTGAATGCAAGGTATTTTCAGTCACTATTCTGACACCACGACGTTCCGTATTGCTGCTTTACATTGTCAGTCAACCTCACGCATGGACACGCTATCCGTGCTTGCAGCTAGTTGACCATCTCGGCCTTCAACTCTCCGCTTGAACTGCTGCGTCGATACCAGCCAGCTCCGAGCTAACCGCCCCTTATCATCACCAGTGATTTCTGTTCATTGTAGAAAAATCACTGTAGACGTACAGCAGAGTTGTCAAGCATGATGGGCACAGACAGTGTGTGTAGCAGTGGCAGTAAGCCAACGCTGTCACGTGACACTGCTGGTATGGTGATTCTCGTGCGCAGCGGACAGCACCACCGGACGGCGGAGAACGTAGAGCTGTTGCGCAATGCCGTAGGGGAGAGCGCCGCTCGACGCGACGCGCGCGTACCCGTCGAGTTCACGCTGTCCCGACGCGCGCGTGCGTTCCTGACGCTGTCCCGGCTGGCCGCCACGCTCGTGGCGCTGCACGTCTGTTGCTTTGCGTGGCTGGCGCGTGTGTGCGCGGCGCATCCCAGTGTGGAACGTGTACTGTGCAGGACTGCGTGTGGGTGTCGCGCTCTTCAACGTGCCAAGGCATGCCTGGCATACCGTACGGAGGATCAGCAGCAGCCGGCAGAGCAGAGCGTGGGTGCTGGTGGTGGTGCTGGTGATGCTGGTATCGATGGCGATGCTGGCGGTGCTGGTGCTAGTAGTGGTTGCCACGACGATGATTGCCGCCGCGGCGACCAGTGGCAGCTGCGCTGGGCTCGTCAGCCGTCGCTGCGACTTGTCTGGCTGCTGGTGGCCGACATCTTCCTAGGCATTGTCCTGATGGCTGTCCTTGTTACCTGCGCCAATGTCATAGCCAGTGAGTTGGTGACAAACGCTGAAGTAAGTCTCTTTTTCTCCGTAGCCAAGAGTAGATAGACAAGATTGTGCAACTCGCCGATGGGTAGGCCCGCAGCGGAATTTTTTGTTGACGTAATCTTTTCGACGACGCACGCGCTGCGAGTCTTTCGGAAAGTTTTCCCTCGTGCTCTTGGCCGGGCTTTACACTACAAGGTCGGTACCCAGCACGTGCTCTCACACTGCTCTGCGGCGAAATGCGCGTTTCTCTGAAAAAAGGTGACGTCAACAAAAAACTCCGCCGTGGGCAGATATCTGCAGATTGTGCAGGAGAGATCTGGAGTTGCACACTCTTGTTTATCTACTCTTGCCGTAACGCTTCTGAAGTCGTGGCCAAAGAAATCCAACCCACGCGCCAAAAGCAGCGCCAAGGCTCATGTGGCCCTCGGGTCGGTTTTGGGAACATGCATGACGTCATTGAAATGGAAACGTGGCGCTGCTTTTGACTTGCAGGTCGGATTTCTTTGCCCACAACTGTAGGTGGGAAGTCCAGGCAGGAGAGTGGCTGGTGTGTGTGTGGGGGGGGGGGGGGGCAAGACTGAATAAAACTGTGTCGTGTTTTCCCCGAATACACGTTGCATGGTTTTTTTACACAAAACCCCTAAGGTCAGCCCCCCCCCCCCCCCTTCAAGATTGATCAATAGTAGGTGGTACTATGCAGGCAATGAGTCACTGAAGCTGTCTAATAGGTCTTTATCAGTGTCTTGCTCCTGGCCTTCTCTCGGTTTTGATCATGAATTTTTTTTTACGTTCTAGAACTGCACTGGATAGTAAATTCTGTGTGTGTGTACGCGTGTGTATGCATGTGTGTGTGTCTCTCATGCCTCTCTGTAAACAGCTGACAGCCGTGTGGCTGCGATCGCTAATCAACTGGCTGATGGGTGTGCCTGCCGGTCTCAAACTAAACAACCAGCTCAGCGAGTTCCTGGGCAGATTTTTCCTCTACCACATCTACCTCTGGGGTATCTACGTGCGGCTGGTGGCCCCCGTACTGGCGCCGCTGCTGCGCTGCGTGGCGTCACTGGGTGTGCTCGGCGGTGCCACGCTACTGCTGTGCGCGCTCTCCGACCTGCTGTCGGCGTTTGTCTTCCACGCCTACTGCTTCTACATCTACGCCGGGCGTGTGTTTGGCGCCCAGCGCTACGTGCTCGCCGCGCTGCTGCGTCTGTTCGCCGGTCGCAAGTGGAACGTGCTGCGGCGGAGAGTCGACTCACTGGAGTCGGGCTCGACGTCGTCATCACCGGACCAGTACCTGCTGGGAACGCTGCTGTTCACCGTCGTCCTGTGGCTGCTGCCGACCACGCTCGTGTTCTACTCGGTGTTTGCCGCCGTGCGCTTGGTCGTCCTGGCCGCGCACTGCCTCCTGGCCTGGCTCGTCCTGCTCCTTGATCACATGCCGCTGTGCGAGGTGCTGCGGAGTGTCTGCGCCGTGGCCAGGCTACAACACCTGGACTTCCGCCTGGAGACGGTGCCACCCCCAGCCGGTCCCCAGGCGGGGAATCCCCCTGATGACTCGTCGCCGTTCATAGCCCTGCGGTTGAACGTCTGCCCGCGCTCTGGAGACCGGTACTTCTCCCTGACCGCGCTTCCACAGGCGTCAGCTGCCACCACGGGTGATGGCGATGATGCGTGCGAATCCCAGGCTGCTCAGCAAGCTCTGGTGGCGTGCGGTCGACCGGCTTCGGTTGCCGAGTCGCTCAAGTGCGGCTGTCCGTACGTGGAGTGTGCTCGACCCGGCTTCATACCCAGTGTGGATGTGGTGGGTATCCTCTCCAGTCTGGCACGGGGTAGCATTCTCCATGCACCCACCGAGTCACTCTGTCACCGCACACCGTCCACAACAGCAGCGGCGAGCAACGTTACGTAACCCCTCCCCGCAAGAGTACTCAATCTGCGGACCGAACTGTTTCGTCGTTTGTGAACTCGCCAACACTCCCCGGAAGAGTATTCAAATCTCATCTCCAAGCTATGGGTGCTGTGCGCAGCGTGCTACCTTCATTGTGTCGTGAACTGACGATTAAAAAAGAAAGAAAGCTGACTGGAGCTGTGCTTCCGTATAGTTTGGACTTTAGACGCAGCGATTTCACCCGTGATGTGATAGACTCGAAGAGGGCAACGCCTGTATGTGAAGAATCATGCACAATCCTTCCGAAGTCTCCGAGAAGAGTGTAACGGAAAGCTGGAAAGCGTAGCATGTTAGCTGTGTGGCAACGACCCAGCCGATTTCCGCAGTACGTGGGTACGTACATGGACATGTACTGGTGCTTCACCTTTCCATATTAGGCCTGGCCAGGCCCTGTTCCGGTTTTCTGTCATGGCGTGGCCTGAACAGTGTATGCGAACCAGTGAGTAGTAAAATGCCGGATATTTTACTACTCACTGGTGTGAACTGCCATTCTACGCAGCAATCTTGTGGCCAGATTCGTTCGGCGGCGGCCTTTTCCAACATGTTGCAGTTTTCACGTCCGCGTGCCGATTGCAGTGAATTCCAGCCGCTTATTCTCGCGGCAAGTGTGCCTAACATGAAATTTGAAATCATGCCGGACCGGACGGCCAACACGCAACATCGATCTACACGTGCAGCAAGGGCGCGCGACTACGGTATGTGCATACTGTACGTACGGATGACGGCGCAAACATGCAACCTCCCACCACCGGCCTTGATCCTGTGGCGGTCTTCCAAGATGTACAGAATTCTATTCGTCACGGTCACACGTTCGACAGTATCTGTGTTCATCGGTCGCTGGACGTAACCTACAGTACTCGGCATATGAGAATGCACCGAAACCGTGGACAGCGCTCCGTGCCATGCCCCCATGTTCACTTGTAGAGTTGCATACTCCCCAGGCCCGGGACTGGTCATTAATTCGTGCAATGAGTGCGCTGACCGAGGGCAGTTGCTCTTGTGCGGGGGAGAGTCAGACTCAGGATAGGACCGTCCTCTACGTGTACAAATTGCTGAAATATAAGAACGCCCCAGGCTAACCTCTTGGACACAACGTTCTTGGATGCTCAACCATGTTTGTTTCGTTTTCGGATTCAGCAATCGTGAGACTCTTTGTGTCAGCTGTCCATTCTATTCTCTACTAGTATCTGATACTATGGTAGTCGCCGATGTTACTGATCGGAGTGAGATTTTGTGTGCACAGCGGTGTAGTGTTGACAAGCGCCTTGTACTAGAGGCCTTGTGTACTGGCAAGTGCCGTTTTGCGGAAATTTCCATTTTGGCATTCCAATTGTCCAAGAAAATAGCTGCAACTCAAAACTAAATCTCTCTCTCTCTCTCTCTTATAGTTTATGATTTTATGTGTTTCCCTGCAATACTCTGCCACCGTGTCTAATCACTGACGACTAGTGGCATGGGCTTAGCTGGACTGCAGTGTATACTAGTTGATTGGACATGACTCAACCACTGTACATTCTGTTCTCACAGACTCCACAGCTGCAGTGCTATAATAATGCTGAAGCCTGCTTTTAAAAGTTTTTACTTTTTCTTCTTTTTTTTTCTTCCCTAGTTTGAGGGAAAGAGACAAACGGGAAAAGTCTGAAGAAAAAATTGACCGTCACCACCAGGACTCGAACCAGGGACCCTCGCTTGTAGCTAGCGATGGTCTAACTTTTTTTCTTTTTTCATCACGTTTTCTAACTTTTCGTTCTTGCAGACTGTTCCCCGCCTATTATAGCTGTGGGCATGTTGTATACCCAAAGCTGCTTCAGGAGATCAGGCATCTTGGCCTTGGTGTACATACTATACTAATACCGTTGTTCATGTGTTGTACTTCTCATGCCTGCATCATTTAGCACAGCCATACTCGTACTACCGTCAGACCTCGCATAACCGCACACGTCCGTTTCCCACAAAAATACAGGCGAGGGAACCGGATAATCGAACACACATACCTAGAACCAAGAGTACATAACCCCCCCCCCAAGAGTGCAACTCCTGATACCCTTTGTACAAAGGTATCAGAGACGTGAGTTTTCGCCGGCGGAGACCCCATAATAGGGAGTTCAATCACGTGACCAGGCACATACATTGGGTCTCTACACTAGGCTTTTCCGGATTATGCGTTTTTTCTTGGTCTAAAATGGAAATGGAAAGTGTTTTGAAAAACCCCTATAAATCAATTTTTTTTCTAAAGAAAATGCAAAAATTTACCCAAAAAGCACAAAAATGCCACCGTTGCCATGGTAACAAAATGGCGACAGCTAGTCGCGTGACATTTGGCACCATGGTGATCGTGAAGTACCTATCGCTTGCAGGGAGTCGTAAAATACCGGTATTTTACGACTCCCTGGCCCAAAGTGTGTCAAAATGGACAAAACATTTTTTGTGACTTGGTAAACCGGCCTCTTGTACGGGCAGAATTTAGTAACACAGTGATACAATAAAAACAAGTACAGTGTACCAGTAGTTACATACATGGACCATACGAGAAAAAGCAATGATGACGAGGCATAAACAAGTATCTAGTGCTGTATGGCAGCTTCCGAGACAGCGAGTCGAGCGGATGACTCAGCCACCTCCGGGTGCGAATACAGCCGTCGTGCACCACGCAGGCAAGCCACGCCTGCACGGAGAAGGGCGAAGCTGAACCTGCAGCGGATCCATGCCATCACTGCAGAGTATGGCTCACCAGATTTGTCGGAGACCATTGCAGCTATTCTCTTGAGGAGAGCGGCAGCAGCTCGACCAGTACCACCAGTTGCAGCGAAAACCACAGGGATGAATGTTCCACGGTCGTCGATGCATTTTGACCCTCAAAATGCAAAAATATGCAAACACATAATCCGGAAAGGCCTACTCTACACGCGGATGTACGCATGACGTGGCCAGGTGGGCAGCGACGCGTTTTTTTGAATGTTTTGCTGCAAGCTCAAATTTTTGATCAAGAAGACGGCCATTGCCTGGTTCGTGAAGACAGTAGCTTTTGTTTGGTGTGTCGCTTGCCGTCGTTGAACCGTTTTCAGACGTCCAAAGTTCTGGAGGAACTTTTCGATCGTGTTTTTCAGTATTTTCTTTTGGTTGCTCGCCGAGGAAACGCTCATATTCGTGTAGAGCACCCTCGAATTTAGTAAGATCGAGTCGTCCTGCAACTTCAGGAAGTAGCAAAAGTCTGCCAAATTACCTGAACGATGGCAAGTCACACAGAAAAGGAGACAGGTGACAACAGCAAGGACGTCGTTGGAGATATGTGTACAGTGCTGGGTGTGTAAAGTGCTGGGTTTGACTCGGACGTCGCTGCTAAATTCAGTGGAAAACAACGATGCATTTACGTCGCTGAAGCGTAGTGGGTAATCATCTAGTTTAGGGTCCCAAATTATTTCGCACTTTCCCAGTGTTCTGTGTACTTTCTATGTACTTTCTGTGTACGTGAGAGCGTGTCAACCCCAGAAAATTGCAAATCAAGATCAAAAACACAGTAGCTGTTGATATGGATTTTTTTCATCAGAACCGATCAGACAGGGTACTGCTGATGAATGCTGCGGAGCAGGGAGCCGAAGGTGTTTCGTTCCTCTCGAACTCTTTGCCTCCACACGAACTCGCAGAGGTAGGTTGGAAACAACTCGCGAGACGTGCCGAAGTTGCGTTGAGCTGGCGCTTTGCACGCATCCACATATTCTCGACATTGTTGGTATGGATGCTCTTGACATAGTGGCAAGGTCTGCATCTCCAGCGAAACCCATCGTGGCTTTCCTGCCTCCTAGTGAGGCCACATCGCGCACCACATGTGTCACAGAGCATTTCGTTCCTGATAAAGCACCGAGCGGCAAGGAACTCGAGTTGGCCAAGTTGGGTCCTGGAAAAGATCGGCACAAGGGTGAACACGTCCACTGCTCCATCAAAATTGCATCATTATTTAGTATGTCTCCCTGAGGGACATTCCGTATCGGCGCACCGGGACGCCCAGCCATTACCACAAAGTCAAAGGAAACAACTCTAAGGACACAAAACTTCGAAACACACTCAAGCACGCTCTCACGTACACAGAAAGTACAGACAACACTGGGAAAGTGCGAAATAATTTGGGACCCTAAACTAGATGATTACCCAAGGCTTTCACGACATGGCTGGAAGGAATATCTGGGAGAGAACGTTCAACTTTAAATTCGAAGTCAGTGTCTGGCAAAGTGAACAGACTGAAGACAGACGTACTTACCTCCTGAACAAAGAGCAGTAGCATTTGCTGTCTGAGCAGGTATTTGAGCTTCCAGCTGGTGTGGCAGCCCTCCGCACTGTTGCTGAAAAACGAAGTGCGCTGAGGGCACAGCTTCTGCGCCGTAAAACTGTGTGCACCATGATCATGATGATGCACCAGCTGCCACATTCTCCCTCTCGAAGGATGGGCGGCAGTACCCTAGGCCCTGTGGAGAGCTTGAGCTGGTGGACAACCTGAAGTCCCTGCTACCTGCCATAGTTCTCGCATCTGGCATCACAGATTCGGCCACCACAGATCCCGCCGCCGCAACTGGGCCGGCAAGGTCTGTACTGCCACCCGGCACTACTGATCCTGACCAGGACTCTGGGGATTTGGAGCCAGCTCCAAAGCGCGTACCAAGTGTTGCACCATAAAAACCTGACTTATTCCATTTCCAGGAGTTACTAAGTACATGGTCGTCTATATCTTGGCCGCCGTCACCTTGGTCACCAGACACGGTGTCGCAAATATGTAACACTGCTGTAAAACATAAAACTCTTCAATGCCACTCACGTTTGTTGTTTCATCTTCTCTACTCCACTGCTTCTTCATTAACAATATGCTTGGTGTTCAGAATTACCTTTCCTGCAATGATATATTCCTGGTTTTCCTAATATCCATATCCGATGTATGCGGTCAGAGCGGTTGCCATGGTGGTTGCTATGGACAGAATTTGAAAGTCTGTAACTGAATTTGAAAATTAATTTTCATTTGGTATCCTTCAGACTGTGTTTACTCCTTGGGTGGAGTTTCAAGACATTCTGGTGAAGTTCATCGGTTGCTATGTGTAGCTAGGGCTGGTCCGAAGATGCCTTTGGTGCCATCAAGAGTCCGTTATGGACTCTTGGCGCCATGCGATGTACAGTGGTGGCCAAAAGTCTTGTCCGCAGGTGGATTTCTCGGTTATATTCAACAAAATGGCACAACAAGCTGTACACCTGTCATTTTCTAGAGCAGATACAAAGTTTAGAGGAGAATATTCAAAAATATTTCCCAAAAGTATATTTTCTGTGTCCCTATCCCTAAGTATGGCAATGTGCGGCCGGACATCACTTTTGGCCAATATTGCACAATCTACAATACGCGGCGTAGAGTCAACTATTTCTCATCTAAACTGTTCTAATCCCTACAGAAACTAAGGCCAGACTCTCTGGAGTCAGCCTGTACCAATTTACTGGGCCTCCTTTGTTCTTGATCATAGCTGCCATGCGGCGCGGCATCGATTCAACGAGGCGGCGGCAGATATCCAGTGAAATCGAATATCATGCCTGCTTGCACTCAGTGAAGAGCTCACCATCGTTTTTTGCCCTCCTGCTGCCCTGGCGGTGCTGACTGAGTATTTCCCAAAGATTCTCAATGGGATTCAAACCTGGTGACTGTGGTGGCCACTCCATCACCGTCAAGTCTTGCGTCGCGCGCCATGCTTTGGTTGCCTTGGCTGTATGTTTGGGGTCATTGCCCTGCTGAAAAATAGCCTGTTCATCAGCAAAAAGGTCAGTCATGGACGGCAGCATGACATTTTGCAGAATGCCCATGTATTGGTTGGCTGTCATGATGCCCTCGACCTTGAAAAGCCGTCCAACGCGCGTCGCCGACAAGCATCCCCATACATGATATCTCCATCTCCATGCTTCACAGTACCACGCAAACAATTCAGGCTGTGTCGTTCTCCAGGCTTCCTGCGAACAAACCTCACTCCATCAGAGGCATGGAAGTTGAATTTTGACTCATCAGTCCACAGCACACGACTCCAATCTGCCACTGTCCAGTTCCTGTGGGCCTGGTCAAACTTTAGTCGTTTTTTCAAATTTTTGGCCTACATGAAAGGCTTTTTCACGGCGATGCAGCCCTTCTGGCCTGCGTTCTGCAGCCTCCTGCGCACCGTTCGTCCAGACACCCGTGAATCCATCTGCTAGGTCGTCTCAGCTCTCAGTTTCGGGCTGCTTTTGAATCTATCTGCCATATGGAGTATCTTTAGACGATGGTCGTAGCTGGCCCTGGTCACCCTGGGCCGGCCAGAACACTTCTAGTTTTCAACACGTCCATCGACATGATGTTTGGCAATGACTCTACGGCACGTACGCTCGTTCAGGTCCAAAATCCTGGCAATCTGACTAGATTTTTCACCATTCTGACTCAGCTTTACAATGGCCAGCTTCGTGCTAGCATAGAGCTCTTTCCTGCCAGCCATTGGGGTCAAAACGAAATCTCTCGGTGACAAATTCACGCCAGGACGACTCCTGAAGCTCTTATCTGTGCTTGCAAGCTTTCAAATTCCCGGCATGCATGACCTGTCAAAAACTACGGTAGTACGGTACAATGTGCGTACGCATTTTTGGCCAAAAGTCATGTCCGCACGTGGCAGCCATTTGTGTGACGTAATAGGTCACGTGACATATATGACGTCATGCTTTCCCCCGAAAATCGATTATAGACCGCATTGCAAGTCATTGAAAGAATCACCAGGCCAGAATAACCAATCTCACTCAACATTCACCCATTTTTGGGTGCCGGACATCACTTTTGGCCACCACTGTATGCACTTTCATGATGAATTTGCCGCGACTTCAAATCACCATAACTCTGTTGTTTTTCAAGATATCCACTCCAAATTTCGGCTGCTACTTGGTTTTACCCCATACTTTTCAAAAATCCGCTAAGAAATGGCTAGCTGCCAACATGAAAAAATCATGTGAACTCCCTACCCATAATGCAGAGTTGCTAGCAGGGAGTAGTACAATACTACTACTCCCTGGTTGCTAGTACTGTATGTATGCATGGCATACTGTAGTGTCACGTATAAAAGCATGACTCGAATAGAAGCCGACTTTTCGGAGCGCGTCATGACACAGAAGCACGATTTGAATAGAAGCATGACTCGAATAGAAGCCGACTTTTCGAAGCGCGTCATGACCATGATGACACAGAAGCACGATTTGAATAGAAGCATGCGTGTATTACCAAGAGTACATAAGTATTATGAACTAATACTTGCACTGTACATACGTGACAATGTGCACTGCACAGTGTAGACTAGAGATGTTGACGTAGAAGCATGTTTCGAATAGAAGCATAACTTTTACTAGAAAAGAAGCATGGTTTGAACCCCGGCTTATACGGCCATAATAGGCGATTCACACGACAGGCAAATCTACGTTTGTCAAGTGCCCGCAGGAAGTGAAACGTGAGGCCGCAGTTCACACGGCCGCGGGTGGCGGCCAGAGCTCCCGCGAGTATCCGGTGAGTATACGGCGTTACTGTGGTGATTTGGAATGAGTACCCAAAAACAAAGGCCAAACAACCAGGGTACAAGACTACCGTACCATAGTACGACCTCACAGCCTCATAACTGTAAAAGTGCCCGCAGATGAGTGCATCCGCGGGCAAAAAGGCCATGGACACTTTTGATTCCCGCGGGCAAATTTTGGTCACCCGCAGGAATATCTCCATGGTGACTTTCCTGTAAACGTGGATTTGCCTGTCGTGTGAATCGCCTATAAGCACCTGCTTTTATACACGACATTTACGGTATGCTGTAAATCAGTAGCCAGCTATCTTCTTCCGGATGGTGAGGGATCCGGATCAAAGAGGACCGGATAAGCGAGGTCTGACTGTATTGAGGTGAGGCAAATGAGGTCATCACTTTTCAAAGTGAGTGGCGAACAAGTCGTGCATGTCTGTGCATTGAGATTTCAGTGGCCCCTCGATTGTTGAATTCGGTCCAGATTTGGCCTAGTAACGTATGCAATAGTCCAGAATCCCCCAGAGTGCGCAACTGAGATGGGGTTGTGGGACAGCGTAATCCGTGATGTACCTCATTTTTGAGGTTGGACTTGCGTCATTCCGTCGACACGGTCCACACTTCCCCTACTCATGATGTCGCACTATGACGTGCAACACAGATTTCGCCGTCCCAGATCTGGTAAGTGAAGTTGCTCACTCTGGGGGATTACCATGATTACGGACTCTTGACGTAATCAATTACTAGTAGTTTGACTGCACCCACATGTCCATGGTTCGATTCGAACCATGGACGCCAACATGCTACTACAAGACACTACGGTATTCGGAGACCTTTCAATAAACGATTAATTTTGATCTTTTCTCAATAATAACTTGATCATAGAGGCGGCACTGCACTGAACAGCGCCAAACGCAGCAAACACTTCGTTTCCTAGTGTAGAAAGATAGGTTATTATGTATTAGATGCCATATCAGTCACATGCACCTGCCATATTAGGCACAACGTGTGCAAGGACATGCACGGCATGACCGGAGAAAACAAACTGAAAAGCTGCTTCGGCCGACTCCGGACGTGCTTGACTGGTCATGTGATCAGTCATGTGATCACACACGGGCGAGGCAGGTAAAACTGAAAAGCTGTTTCCGCCGGCCGTGCTTGACTGGTCATGTCATCAGTCATGTGATCACACACACACACACGGGCAAGGCAGGTAATGGGACAGGGCATGGGGGACGACGAGTCGACGACGAGGAGCTGAACCAGCAGCACTGATGCTTCATAGTGCGGCACGGTGCGTGACACACACACACACACACAATCCACTGAATCCACTTGCAAGCGCTATAGAGGTCGGTACCATGGTACCAGCCGGGCATGGGGCCGGACAACGACACCAGGAGAGCAACGTTGGGTGTGCTCGGTGCGTGGCTGGCAGTTCACACTCTCGCTCACCAGTCTCACATAACGCGCCTCCAAGGCTTTGACTCCCTCGAACAGGACGAGCCTTCCAATCGTCAGCGCCATCCCTGTCCTGCTGGCACCAGCGCTGCTTCCAATGATGTCTGGCACGACGGCATCACATTCACTTCTTGCCTTTCTTCTTCTTCTTGCCCGGCATGGGCCCAGCAAAGCGACTCTTTTGAGCTGTGCTGCTGCTGTCATGCTCTGGGACGTACACACGGCGTTTCTTCTTGAACGCACCTGCATCCGACCTGCTGTCAGACCTGCTATCCGACCTGCTGTCAGACCTGCTGTCAGACCTGACGACGCAAGATAGGGTGAAAAAAAATAGAGAAACAAACAGGACGATAGGAACACATACTAGTATTGTACACCTGTGTCTTTTAGGGGGGATTCACGCACATCATATGCACAGAGGAGACAGAGAGAGACACACACAGAGGAGAGAGAGAGAGAGAGAGAGAGAGAGAGAGAGAGAGAGAGAGAGAGAGAGAGAGAGAGAGAGAGAGAGAGAGAGAGAGAGAGAGGGAGGGAGGGAGGGAGGGAGGAGAGAGAGAGAGAGAGAGAGAGAGAGAGAGAGAGAGAGAGAGAGAGAGAGAGAGAGAGAGAGAGAGAGAGAGAGAGAGACAGAGAGACAGAGGAGAGAGAGAGAAGAGAGAGATAGATAGATAGAGAGAGAGAGAGAGAGAGAGAGAGAGAGAGAGAGGGAGAGAGAGAGAGAGAGAGAGAGAGAGAGAGACAGAGAGACAGAGGGAGAGAGAGAGATAGAGATAGATAGATAGATAGAGAGAGAGAGAGAGAGAGAGAGAGAGAGAGAGAGAGGGAGGGAGAGAGAGAGAGAGAGAGAGAGAGAGAGAGAGAGAGAGAGAGAGAGAGAGAGAGAGAGAGAGAGAGAGAGACAGAGAGAGACAGAGAGAGACAGAGAGAGAGACAGAGAGAGAGAGAGAGAGAACGAGAGAGCGTGATATTCTATCATGGTCATGACCTTAGACCCACTGTGCCTAGCTCTACATTTGTACAGTCATGTAAACACATTACCCCCCCCCCCCCCACACACACACCCGTAGCATCAACCATAACATACCGATATCGGCTATTGGTGGCCTGCGTCTCCGTATCTCCATCATCATCATCACCGTCATCACTGTCACCACCACCGCGACCAGAATGCTCAGCATCGACTTGCTTCTTACGCTTGCGCTCTACGCGCACTTGCCCGGATGAGGCAATCTGCGATGGTGTGCTGCGAAGTGAAAAGCTCTTGGCAACGTGGCCAAGATGCAGAGCTCGGCGATGGAAGATGTGCTTGAGCGATGCAGGGTACGTGGTGTAGGCGCGTACGTACGATAAGCAAGCTGTATACCAGAACAGGAGAGAGAGCAGAGAATGAGCGAGCCAGAGGGATTGAACGAGTGAGAGAGAGAGAGAGAGAGAGAGAGAGAGAGAGAGAGAGAGAGAGAGAGAAAGTGTGTGTGTGTGTGTGTGTGTGTGTGTGTGTGTGTGTGTGTGTGTGTATGTGTGTGTCTGAGAGAGAGAGCGAGAGAGAGAGACTAACACAGAGAGATAAAGATACTGCAGTACTACATTCACATCTCTCACAACCAACCCGCGCCACACATGATCATAACTGGATCGATAGCAAGTCAAAAAGAGAAAAAGGCAAATCCAGCTCTTGCCTGCAGCACCCACAACTTACCATCAGAAGCCAACTCCTTCAAGTCATTGTCGGCGGTGACAAAGCGCTCACAAGATAGCTGCAGATCTGTGGCAGCCGCTTCCACTTGAAAGTCGGTAGGGTCCTGCCGACACAGTAGCAACACACACGCAAGACCAGTAATGTTAACGAACATTTAATTCTTACGAGTTAACGAATTTGAAAGAATCGTTAACATTTGAAGTTGTTATATGCAAACGATAAGTACAGGTACAGTCATTTGTCGGTTTTGAGACAGAATTCGTTAGAATTTCACCTCGCTAACCCACAAAAATCTGGAGATCGTCCACTTTAATTGACGTGAAAATATCTGGTCTTTACAGTATGACAACTGGCAGTGGAAAAAATTCACGGTTCGTTTGAGACTCAGATAGGCTGAGTTGTCAGCATCGGTAGGAACGCCACCGCCCTGCAACGATCTAAGGCGCAGATGCAGCTCCTAAAGCGGAGGGAGGCGAGTTGATCAGCCCACTAGCAAAGCGGTCAAAGACCGAATATCCCATTCACCATTCCATTCCATTTGCGAGTGGAAGTATAGAGGATATTCGGCAATCATGTGACGGTAACCATTGCATCCATATAAGGAGTTTGTCACCACTAAGTCCTGACAAATACAGTAGAACCGCTCTTAGCCACGTGCCTCGCGACCGAAAGGTGCCTGCGTCTCAGAATTGTACGTAAGCTCGGAAATACGAAGCATCACGCCGATTGGCAGGCAGGCAGGCAGGCAGACAGACAGACAGACACACACACACACAGACACACAGATACACAGGCAGACACACACACACACAGACACATAGGCAGGCAGGGCTAGGATGAGGCACCTTAGCGAATGCGTGCGCCCATTGCTGATGTGCTGGCGTTAGAACTCGCCAAGCCTCTCTGTAACCTATCTTTTTACCAATTTAATCCCCCGTCTTCTTACCTTGCCCTTGACCAGTGTTCTTAGGAGACTGTTCACGGTGACATCTGTCAACCTGTCAACAACAACAAAATAAAAGAGAGGAATGAGGGGGGTAGCATGTAGTGCACAGGTCTACCCTTATTAATACCGTAAAGTACCGCCAGAGCGCCCCGTCTCGCGAGAGCGCCCGCCCCCACCTTGCTTTTACAGCCAGGGAAAGGAAACTCGTATGGCAGAGTGCAACAAAGTTTGTACGGTGTGAGAACCTTCGTGTACGAAGGTCACACAAAGCAGTTTTTTTCGTGTGGAGCTCGTGTCCGCTCGAAGGTAAATTGAGTAAGGATTGACTGCACAACGCGCAATGTGTGTACAAGGTTCGAGTCGTATGACCTACAGACAGGAGACCACCTCCACAATACGACCACGAAAGGACGACATGGTGGGGTGCTCTGGCGGTACTTTTACGGTAGTAGAAACCCCGAAGTTTCAATTTTTTTGTCTTATAACGAGTACTACCATATTTCCCCAAATATAAGTCACACCTTTTTTTAAACTAAACTTCAAGGACAAAGAAGGGGATGCGACTTACAATCAAGAGTGATATCCTACGTATGTGAATGTAATGAAACAATGTGGCTCAGACCTGAAAATGGGGGTGCGACTTAGAATCGAGTGCGGCTAATAATCGGGGAAATACGTTATCTACTATCCGGACTTGAACATAAGTGTTTCAGGCGTCGGGGGATTTTGGATCGTTGTCTACCGATCAGGTTTATCTTGTACCCGATGTCGTACTAACGCGGGTAGAACTGTATCCACAAATGCCGACAGCTAGGAACGGCACACGTCATTCAAAGTGCATCGCTCGTCGACGCGAATATAATCGACTGCACGTAGCGAATAGTTCTGGGACAAACTGCTTGGTAGTGGAAATTCAGGTTCATTGCATCAAAGCAGTCAAGCCAGAATCAGATTATTTCCTCCATTGGCTTACTTACAGTGGAACATCAGAAGCGCAACCACCTCCCGAGCTAAGCCGAGTCACCACATTTGTAAGGTAGTGTGATGTATTCGGTGGGTGTACATATGGGAGAGCCTCATGCGGAGCCAGTAAAACAAATGGTCACCTTTCAGAGGCAGCCGGTGGAAGAGTGAGGCGGCCAGAGACCGACGTTCCACTGTATCGTAGTGTCTTGCACTTTGAAGTCCGTCTCGAATACAAGCCTGTTTTGAATACAAGCCTGATTTTCAAGATGCACCGTTGGCACATAAGCCTGGTTTTAGTGTTGGCATACATAGAGATACGTGGTTTGAATATAAGCCTAGCACTGACAATGGCTTCTACAGGAATAAGCACGGTTGTAACAAGCGACTTTATGGTACGTGTATCACAGTACGGTAGAAACACAGCAGAGCGTTGTGGACTTACGATAGACCGCTCTCCTCCAGGACCTGACGGTATGGAGCCTACACGGTTGAGAAACATAACAACACAATCATCATCATCATCATCACCATCATCATCACCACCATCACCAGCACAAACAGTAGCAATAGCAGCAGCAGCAGAGGCTACTCAAACTATTTAGTTGTTCTCTTTTCGAATTCTTTCCTCTCCCTGCATTCATATCATCAGTGGTTCGTGTGTTCAATAAAACACCGTTTAGTAGTAGCAGAAGCAGCAGCACTGGCAGCAGCACTGCCAGCACAATTGGCACAATCAGTCCCTGCACACCTACCTCTGAAGGCAGTAGGAAAAGCAGCGCTTTGCCAGAGAGGCCGATACGCGCCGTGCGGCCAATGCGGTGGACATAGTCAGCCACCGTACACGGTGGTGTGTACTGCACATCAATCAACACAAAAAGGTACATGCCCGCGCCCACACACGCACACATACACACACATGCATGTCCACACGCACACGCATGCACATGCACATACTTGTAATATAGCACAAAACAATGTTGAAAAGCAAGAAACACAAAGCGATCGAAAACAGGACAAAGTGCAGCTATGTGACTGAGAATGCAAGCGTACGGGAGTCCACACAAGTTATAACATAATAATTATGTAAATGACCATGTGCGCCCCGGCGACTGACAGCACGTGGAAACCACCGTGCACCAGTAAATGAGTGATACGTCCAAGCTACCGTACTACAATGCCAATGCTGCCTCACCTGTACAATCCAGGAGACCTGCGGCAGATCCAGTCCTCGCGCACCCACATCCTACACACCGTACCAACAACACCACCAGTCAATACAAGAAGGTGTTACGAGATGCAGTCAGCACATAATACCTTCACTGTGATACTTCAGCAGAACACAATTCCATTCATTACGACAGCGATAAGCCCATTGCGCAATGACGTAATTTGTAAATTCGTACCATAAACACCTCAGACAGCCACCTGGGCATGGTTGTCTGGGGTGTTGAACAGTGCATTGATGATCCCAGTGTACTCACATAACACCCCACACAGCCACCTGGGCATGGTTGTCTGGGGTGTTGAACAGTGCATTGCTGATCCCAGTGTACTCACGTAACACCCCGCACAGCTACCTGGGCATGGTTGTCTGGGGTGTTGAACAGTGCATTGCTGATCCCAGTGTACTCACATGCATTACTCATACCTTCCATATTTGGCAATGTGCAATGTGCTTATTGAGAAATGTATGCACTAAAGCTAGTACTCAAGATGACGTTCCTATAGACCAGTTGAATATGGACAGTCCACTGCGCTGCCCTCAAGATCCGCGAGAAACCATACTTGTATCCGTGGAGAACATGCGGGGTTTGCTTTTCACAGGGTGGAAAAAATACTACGGTTGGCATAAACGTTTATGTCCAATACTTATGTAGAGAGAGAGAGAGAGAGAGAGAGAGAGAGAGAGAGAGAGAGAGAGAGAGAGAGAGAGACAGACAGACAGAGAGAGACAGAGAGAGAGAGAGAGAGAGAGAGAGAGAGAGATAGAGATAGAGATAGATAGAGAGAGAGAGCGCTACACACACATACTTCGAAGAGCGCGCGCGCACCCGCTCACACCCACATACACGGACACACATGCACATCTGCACGCACGACACCCACAGACCTGCGCGCGCACACACAGCAGCTTACCGTGCAAAACAGAACACCGACTGAAGACTTGCGGAACTCATCAAACACGTGAACACGATCCTGAAACATAAGCAACGACAACATTTTTAGACACCATGCGCATGTAGTATGCTATTTAAAAATTAGAGAGGAAAGAAAACCAAACGAGATGGTGACAGACAGAGAGCTTTTGCCCATAGCATATCCCAGCGTGCACAGTGCAAGCACACACACACATACACACACACACACACACACACACACACGTCAGAGTCTCGTTCCTGCTAAAAAAAACTAGGGCTGAGTCGGGTAGCATTTTCTTCGGGTAGTTTTCCCCGGGTGGCACTGGTACCCTATCGGGTAACGTTTCCATGGTAACATCACAATGCACCCCTTCCCTTACACTTTGGGTAGACACGCAGAGTATTACATGAATTTGCACTGTCGCGGACATGGAAATCCAGTCGATTGACCGGGGCCGGCGCCCTCAGCGCCTACAGAACGTAAGTCGTTGCATGCAGTGCACAATGTTGATCCGATGCGACCAGCAGCAGTGATACGGCTGCATGGCCAGGCGGCTGCATGGCCAGGGCCCTGGGGCTGCTAGACGTGCGACCGGATTTCCATGTCCACGACAGTACATGTGCACTGCATTGTCCCCCCAAATGCGAACTGATCCACCTAAATCGACATGATATCATCTGCGACTTCAGGTTTTCGGGTACTATCCTGTACCCGTCTACCCGAGGTCCTCACGGATAGCACGGGTACCCGACTACCCGTGCACACCACTAGTAAGAACTATCTCAATACTTTAATCACCAAATCTTCGGGCATGGCTCAACAGTTGGAGGAAAAAGTCTGTGAAAAAAACCTAGACGGTCATCACCAGGACTCGAACCATGGACCGTTGCTACGGGTAAGCGATACTCTACCGTTCAACTGTGGTGTAGTCGTCATCCCGGCAGAGACTATTCAACAAATTCTTCAGACTTTGAAAATCATGCCTCCTGGGAAACTAGGCAAACTGGTGGGACGCCGCCCTTGCGGTACCAATACACTTCGAGAACAAACGAGAATGTGGGTAGTCACTAGTCACAATGCACGACACATTTCAGTCGGAGGGAGGAGAAAGTATCAATGGTACATGAGAGAGAGAGAGAGAGAGAGAGAGAGAGAGAGAGAGAGAGAGAGAGAGAGAGAGAGAGAGAGAGAGAGAGAGAGAGAGAGAGAGAGAGAGAGAGAGAGAGAGAGAGAGAGAGAGAGAGAGAGAGAGAGAGAGAGAGAGAGAGAGAGAGAGAGAGAGAGAGAGAGAGATGATCACCACTTGCTACTCACAGTCTGTCCCATGTTGCCATGCAGTTTGAGAAGAGTGGCGCGAGATAAACTTTCATCTTCTGCACATTGGCACATTGGCACATTGGCACATTGGCACATTGGCACATTGGCACATTGGCACATTGGCACATTGGCACATTGGCACATTGGCACATTGGCACACACACACACACACACACACACACACACACACACACACACACACACACACACACACACACACACACACACACACACACACACACACACACACACACACACACACACACACACACACACACACACACACACACACACACACACACACACACACACACACACACACACACACACACACACACACACACACACACACACACACACACACACACACACACACACACACACACACACACACACACACACACACACACACACACACACACACACACACACACACACACACACACACACACACACACACACACACACACACACACACACACACACACACACACACACACACACACACACACACACACACACACACACACACACACACACACACACACACACACACACACACACACAAACACACACACACATATTTGGCCATTTTGCACGGAATCCTTTTCATTCTCTATGGTTGTATGCAGCGGCATCATAACTGTAATACAATGTCATGCAGTGACACCATAGCTGGAATGCGTGCAGTAGCGTCCCAACCGAAATAGGGCACTTGCAAGTTAGATTGGGAACATCTGAAGAAAGACACACATCACCTCTAATGCATAGCTTCGCAGCCAGCTGCTCAAACAGTCACTAACCGTCAGCCAGCTGATCAAACAAGCGCTCCATGATGCCATGGTGAAAGTCAACGGAGTCGCGACTGGAGAGGAACACAATCACTTTACCGTCGCTGTTCAGCTGTACACAAACACACGCACATGCACACACATATGTGTCACAACAACAACAACAACAACAACGACGACGACGACAGTGTCAATATATTGACACTGCCAAAATATAAGTCTGTACACATTACCATACAGATATAATGCACACACTGGGCTTGCATGCTTTTTTCACGTACAACATACAACCTGTTCATAAATGGACCACTTGCCATTTGTACAGATCCACGAAATCCCGTAGACCCGGAAGGGTGTTGAATGCGTGCTACGCATGCGCATTTGACCAATTTTCGCGTCACAATTCAATGACCAGCAATCGCTTTTCCAGCTTCTTCACTTGGGTTAGAACTAATGACTAGCTAGATCTTTGTCAGAAAAAGGTTTTCGTATGAAATGTCTTCAGACCCCATTTCATAGTGGAAATAGCAGAAAACACAATAGGGTCCTGCACATTCAACACCCTTCCGGGTCTACGGGATTTCGTGGATCTGTACAAATGGCAAGTGGTCCATTACAAAAGCATGTTCCATATAGGCATTCATCCATATTGGAATTCAAGCCCACATTATTACATACTGTAAGACATGTATATATAACGAGGAAGTAAATCTAACGTTTTAACGGATGACATTTTTTCGTTATAATAAGATCCGTTGAGGCCGTATTGCTTCATATATGCTGTGTGTGGATATGGCAGAATACTGCAAGATCGTTAACATATCTTCTCGTTAACCTATGAATTTTGGACAATCGTTAAATTTGCGACTCGTTATAATAACATGGCTTACAGTATACAAGTATGTCATAGCAGAATTACAGCATACAACACTTCCAAATTAGGAACTCCCAATGCTCTTGGGGCCCCTAGCATTTTGGCGGCCGACTTGTATCTATGTATAATTTAGTGCCACTCTCGCCCGCATAAATTCTGTTGTTTTTTTACATTTCACTTCACTTCACTCTGATGAGCTGCCTTAGACAGCGAAACCGGTCAGAAAATTTCGACCAGAAATGGTCAACGTCAAAATGTAATCTGCGCCCTGTCTACTGTGTCGGTGGCTGCATGAAAATTTCAATTTCGTTACCCTAGCACCACCCTCAGTAATTCACTATGCCTCCCAAGACTCTTGGTATTTCCCATCAGGCTGCGAAACGTCGCCACTCCGATACTACTGATGCCGATGATCAGTTCGACGCCGCAGATGATGACCTGCCACCAACAGACGTTGACACCGCTAATGCTACCTATTCAACTGCCAATGATGCTGCCGATGACACTGAAGAACCTACTTCCATCATGTCAAGAGCATCGCCACTACCCGCTGTTGAAGTCGAACGGTATGTCGATGCTATTTTTTGTCGCCACTCCGATACTACTGATGCCGATGATCAGTTCGACGCCGCAGATGATGACCTGCCACCAACAGACGTTGACACCGCTAATGCTACCTATCCAACTGCCAATGATGCTGCCGATGACACTGAAGAACCTACTTCCATCATGTCAGGAGCATCGCCACTACCCGCTGTTGAAGTCGAACGGTATGTCGATGCTATTTTTTGTCGCCACTCCGATACTACTGATGCCGATGATCAGTTCGACGCCGCAGATGATGACCTGCCACCAACAGACGTTGACACCGCTAATGCTACCTATTCAACTGCCAATGATGCTGCCGATGACACTGAAGAACCTACTTCCATCATGTCAGGAGCATCGCCACTACCCGCTGTTGAAGTCGAACGGTATGTCGATGCTATTGTTAACCGCCTATTTACGAGCCGCAAAGTCTTAGCTGATGAAACTACGAAAGTCACTTCCTGGCAGTTAGCTTTCGATACGGAAACCTTTCCTGATTTCTTGAGAAAGAAATTTATCAAGCTTTCAGCAGCCTCAGCATTGATTGAATCTTGTGGATTTGCTCAAGTTCAACTCAAGTTCAAATTGATTTGCACAAGAAAAAGAAACAACATGCTGAAGAACTCCTTGTTAAGGCCGACTGTGACTTTGACCGACTCGTTGATGCACTTGCTGATAGTAATGTTACCGGCGACATGTCCCAGCTGACAGTTGACCGATTCAAGTATCTTGTTGCAGTGAAGGCTTCCAATAACATTACTCGAGACATTGTTCAGTCACTTCTTAAAGAGAAGAAAACAACAGTCCAAGAGAAAATTCAGGATGTCACCACTTTGCCACCCACTACTGAAGAGATTGGTAAACTAATTAAAAAGGAAGTCACCAATGCTCTGAAGCAAGCTAATATCAAGAACACCAAGACCCCTATGAAGAAGAAGAAGAATGTGTCAAAAAACTTGACAGTGACGGTGAGCAACAAGAAACCAAAGGCCCACCGAAAGCCGAAAAGACATTAGCTGATCTTCGCTTTAAATTTATTCGGAATTTAAAACTTTCAGATCACAGCAAATATGTCATTAATTCCGGTTTTCATAACTTGTCCAAATTCTCCTTTGACCCTGTTGAACAACAAGTATTGGGTTACGGCTCTAGCTTCCGTTACACTACTCGCTTGCCTAGTCTAGATATGGTATCACAGCTGATTTCAATAGACTGCAACAGAACATTAGATGGAAAGATTGTTTTGCGAATAATGATTTTAGAACTTCAGTGTCAAAATCTACTTTTATTCCCGGCTTCCATCTACATTCTTCCAAAACTCCTCCTTTAGCATTTCCTCACACAGAATCAGCTTTAATCCAGTTCAAAAACTCCTTGTTTTCTGATTTAAAAATTGCTCGATCTGTCCTTTATCGAAAAGCAAATCTTACCATTGATGAACAGCTCGCCCTGCAGAGGCTTAAAGCTCGCAATGATATCATGATATGCAATGCTGATAAAATCTAGGAACCGTAATCCTCAATGTTGAAGATTATATCGCTGAAGGATATAGACAATTAGCAGATAAAAAGTTTTACTCTGTTTCTTGTTCTGATGTTGACACCACACAGTTATCTAGTTTAGATGTTTCTATTCAGTCTGAACTTAAAGATATCTGTTCTCAACACTCGGACCTCCTGTCTAAACGTGATTTATCAGCAATGTTTGCTTGTTTTCTGTTTAAACCAGCCAAGTTTTACATGCTACCAAAAATACATAAAAAACCTCTGGCACATGGCGCTCCAGGTAGGCCCATTGTATCTTGCATAGGCTATTGCACCTCACCTGCATCTAGATTTGTAGATTTCCATCTTAAATCTATTATCAAATGCAAAGCTAATACTGTCCTTGCTGATACTGTCGCTCTTACTTCTCTCCTCTCTAAGTCTCAGTTCTCTAGCAACTGTAAACTTCTAACAGCGGATGTAGTAAGTTTATATACAAACATGGACTGGTCAGCCACTGTTTCTGCTTTAAATTTCTTACTACTTCGAAGTAGATGAACACCCACTTCGTTCTTTATTTGTAGATTCAGTAAGATTTGTGCTCACAAACAAATTTTTTCTTGTTTCAAAATACCATTCACCACCAAGAACGGGGTGCCCATCGCCATACCATGGTATGGCGATGGGCACCCCGATGGCAGTAAACGTAGCAAATGCATTTTTGTTTTCCATGAAGAGAGAACTATCTCTACTTTTAGAAACTCCATACACCTGTTTCTAAGGTTTATTGATGACCTCTTTTTAGTCGTAGATAATACCGTAAAGTCGCGGATAAAAGCCGGGCTTATAAGCACATAAGCCGCTTTCTGCATCAGGCTTTAATGCAAACTAGGCTTGTATGCAAACCATGCTTATGCACCACACTTGCATAGAAGCCAGGCTTCTACGCGCGACACGCGTAGATCTACCACTATGGTAGATCTACGCGTATTTACTGGTATGGTGGCAGTTTTACTATGCACTGTACATAGCGCATGCACTCTTGACCTACCCGATCCGCGCTTGCATAGAAGCCAGGCTTCTACGCGCGACAGGCTTATATGCATTTGACCCGTTTGATTTTCAGGCTTCTATCTGCGATGTGCGTGTATGCAAACCCGGCTTTTATCCGCGACTTTACGGTAGCCTAAAAATAGAGGACCTAAAACGCACACTCTATTCCGAACTGCCAGATATAAAATTAACTTGGTCCAATGCAGAAGACACATGCATTTTCTTGATTTAGAAATTTACAAATCATTCTGTGATACTGAGCTCCGTCAGTTCTGTTATAGAACATACCAGAAACCGCGAAACGCATATCTCTACATTCCTTTCAAATCAGACCACCCCAGATCAAACTTTCGTTCATTTATCATAGCTGAATTGCATCGATACAATAGAACTAATACATTGTTAGACGATAATCGATATTCTACATGTTCGTCGTCTGTTCTGGTCTCGACTCAGATTGCGCGGCTACCCATTTGATTTCCTAGCTGCCGTTTTCTCCACTGTCAATCCACTGCCGACAGTACCTGAGAAGAAGAACTGTAAGAAGAAGAACAATGATACGCTAGTATTTTCAACTGCATATCACCCCTTCTTCATTAAACATCACACGATATTCTGCAAATTTCAATTTCTCTTTGCCAACGCAGAACACTACAGATATGCTCCCCAATGTCCGAGTGAATACTCGAATCCTTGGTACAATTGGTTCACCCGAAAGAGATACCATCAGATACACAGGAAAGATCACTGAGACTTACAAGAGTTTGCACACGCAGAAAAGCCGCCAGAGCTACCAGCCGCACTTTACTCGGTACAAACAAGTAATGCTGGGTGAGAGTGGACGGCGTGTGGTACGTACTCTGCGCATTGGAACAGACGCGTGCGCACACACAGACACACACACAGACGCACACACACACACAGACAGACAGACAGACACACAGACAGACACACACACACAGGCACACACACATACACATAAAATACCCACACACACACACACACACACACACACACACACACACACACACACACACACACACACACACACACACATACACACACACACACACACACACACAAAACAAACACACACACACACACAAAACAAACACAAATAGAGCAATGAAGAAGACGAATGCGAGAGACAAAGCAGGTGGCCGGGCAGATGGCGCAACACTTGCCTAACCTCTGCTCTCCCGACAAAGACAGCAAGTCCACAAGAAAAGCTAGAGCCACACGGGTTTGCTTAGCTAGAGCGAGCATGCCCACACAGGAACAAATAATGTACGTGTACTACTTATAAGGAACATGTTCGGGTGAAACTCACGGACTGTAGTGTTAGGCCGATTCCACACTACGGCGAAAGTGGCTTTGCCTTGAAGGCATAAAGTGGCTTATAAAGTGAAGCTGCATTCACACCTACAAGTGTCGATCACGGGACTTTGCTTTGAAGGTTAGACTGTGAGGCTTTCCTGTGCTTGATCTAGCAACGGCGGTAGTGGAGAGGCTCTTTGTTGGGCCAAATCCTCGAATATCACCCATTTTCGCGTGCCCAATCTTGAAATTTGACCACGCTAGCGCGCGCTGTGTAGGCGGATTCCAGATCATAGGTCGAATATTTGTCAACCTCGCCAACAGGCATTCCGGTGGCAGTTTTCGTTGTGTATGTCTCGTACAGTCCTTTCGCCTTCGTTTTCATGTTGTCGATTTTGGAATGGACGATCGACGCAGTATATTGCCTCCTCCCGGAGCTGTTCAGCAAACAAATTCAGCTTGATGGCGATCTCCTCCGGCGTAGCTCCTGCGAACTGTACCGGCCGGAGGTCGCCTCAAATATCCGCTCCAAAGCTCGATCAGCTTGCCCTCAAGCTCCTGGCTAAACATGACTCTAGGCATTGTTGACAGCTCACAACTCACCACAACTGAAAGATACGACAGGGAACACATTCGGAAAAAAATCGAAAGGCTGAAGAAAAGTCAGAAAAGTGTCCTGAAAAGGTAAAAGTTAGTTGCCTTGAAAGAGGGTGCTGGTGTTGCTTTGTAGACAACAAGCACTTTTCACTTTCGCGCGTTTCTCAAAGTGATCGCCATGGCAACTTGCCTGAAAAGTGCCTGAAAAATGGCTTTTTAGGCAGGATTTGGTGTAGTGTGGAATCGGCCTAAGGCTCACGGTTTCATATACTAGTGCGGTAAAGTACCGTTGATCTGCCCCCTCTCTAATTCACGCCCCTGTCGATTTTCTACCTGTGAAGCGACTTCGGCGTATACAACGAAATACGATGTTGAACCGACGCATGCACTGCTGTGCACAATACGTGCCAATCCAGGATGAAAATGTGCACAATTCAGCCCATCGAGCCTGATCCTCCACGTTGTTGTACATCGTACTGCACTTGACAGCCATGATCTAATTCCCGCCCGCCCCCTGCCGAAAACCCAGCTGGGAAGCGACATGACGTGGGGGACGGATCAACGGTACTTTACGGTATGCACGCACTCGCACACCAATGACCTCTCCCATATACGCTCGTACACACACACACACACAAACACTCAGACACCCATTACTGCATGCACCCTCGTACTCATCTTCTCTCCCCTTTTGTAACCTTTTGTTCTGTTGGCCTGGGTAGCTGAATTCGCGCTCTCGTACATTCATTGCCATAGCTACCCAGGCCCTTGATAAGCTCTTGCTTCATCATTTCGTTCTCTCTCTTTCCGAATCTCGTGCGTGCCGCGAGACTAACAGTAGTATGTATCGTGAAAAGACGCACGCCTGTAAAACGTACATCTT